AATTTCTCTATGGAGGAAATGAATGGCATTTGTACTTTCAGAAGCCTACTGTTGTGCTACACAGCGTCACGCTTTGGTATCAGCAGGGGTCGAGTGTGTCAGATATAGTCTGTGCTGAACTTACAGGGCTTATTTCTCTGGGTCAGTGAAGTGAGCTTTAATTCATCTCCCGGCCCTAACTTCAACAAAAAGACCAGGTTTTTGGAGGCCTGCTCAGTGTCTGTAACCATTGCTGAAATATTCCACTATCTGCTCTTTTCAACAGGACACATCTTTCAAAGCATGCTAAAGGTTTAATCTGGCCCACAAGATCTCAACATCCATTGAAGTACAGCAAATCAGGGGATCAGCTCAACTCCAGAAACCATGCAATTCTGCTCAAAAACATCCCTAAATTCCTGTCATGTAGACAAGCCTTTTCTCAGTCTGGCAATCTCTAATCCGATCTGCTGGCTTTACACAATTTCCCAGAATAAGGGCACATAGGTTTTACTATCTGTCCAACAGGAAATCAACTTATGTTTACAATGTACCAGCCAGGCTTACAAAATGAACCCTGGTCACTTGCTAAAGTTTGCCAAGTTAGTGACATTAAAACTTGAAAGTACAGAAGACTATTAGAGTTATAGCTAGGGCCATCCATTTAATCCCGGCACAGAAGACCTTAAATCCTCTGGATGTCTGTGAAATATGAGGCACTAGACTGTGGAGATCAGACAGCGTCCAATCAATGACACTTTCTGAAGTTTGCTCTGTTCTGAGAGGCTATTGACAAAATCAGATTGGCCTGATCGAGAAACTCAGTCGACCTGCAACATATACTACATCCTCCCGCCCCGTCCTGACACACAGACACACTGTCTTCCAGCAGATTTACTCAGCTTCCAGTTCAAGACAAGAGGTGAAACACAGCACACAGACACACATACGTCTAGAGGCGAGAAGCACTAAGCGTTCTGCGAGTGAGATAACATGTACCCATTTCCCAGCATCCTCTGTGTGCTGCTTCCTCTGCTCGGGATCCTTCAAAATAACACACAGACAAACAAAGCAACAAATAAACATCAGCGCATGATGACAAACTGCACCTGCGGGCTGTGTGCTTGTGAATAACACCAGTGGGTCAGCGGCACAGAGCGCTCAAACACACACTCGCTGCCATTTAGGGACATTATGTAAGCTCAAATAGCCAGCGGTAAATTGCTCTCTTAGAAAATGTAATGTGCAATCGTCTGTTGTGATGCAGACATTCAATTACACAAAACAAATCACTACAACACTGTAACAGAAAAACAAAAGAACATCTTTAGAAATAATATTTAAAGAAATATCTAAATGTATTTATAAAATGTATTTCTGCATTTATTATTTATAATTATTTATAATCATAGTTTTTTAGGCCCAATGGCACAAATAAAATTTAATTTAATTGAATCGCTTCTATGAGGTTTACAATATATAATTCCTTAAAAATACATCATATATATACTGTATATATATATATATATATATATAATGACAACTTTAAAAGCAATGTCCTTAGCAATGTGATTAAAAATATGTACATTTATCCATATATATATATATATATATACACAAACACACACACACACATATATATATATATTAGGGCAAATGACACATTATTTTATTAATTAAATGAATTAAAATGTATGTATGAATCAGTTCATACAGATAACGAATTTGTTGATGATGTTTACAATTACTGAATTTGGATATTTTTGGGTGGCTGAGAGTCAAATATGTCTAGGTGGCTGTGGAGATTGAAATAAAGAAAAAAAGTCTCATTAAAAGTCTGTAATTGTTGAATTGTGATGCAGACATTCAGTTACCCGAAACAAATCATTGCAATGCTTAAAGCAAAAAATAAAGCAAAAGAACGTCTTTATAAATAATTTTAAAGGGGTGGTTCATTGCGATTTCACTTTTTTAACGTTAGTTAGTGTGTAATGTTGTTGTTTGAGCATAAACAATATCTGCAAAGTTACGAAGCTGAAAGTACAATGCAAACGGAGATATCGTCTTTTAAAATTCTGGCAGTTTAATGCCTACAAAA